TGACGGCGGGAGGGGTAGGACTCACCTCTCCCTTGGGCCCCGGCTCGCCAGACTCGCCCTGCAGGCAAAAGGAGCCGCAGTCACGGAGCGGTGTGGACCTCGGAGCCCAGCCGCCGTCCCCCGCCCGCCCCGCGTGCTCACCTTCTCGCCTTTCTCTCCGGGGAGACCGGCCACGCCCGGGTCGCCCTGCAGAGAGAGAAGCGCGGCTCAGACCCGCGGTGGCGGCGGGGCTGCCGAGACGTGCACGCACGCGACGACCCACGCGCGGGGACACGCGAGGGCCGGCAAGGGGCGCTGGGACTCACCACTCCGCCGCGGGGCCCGGCCTTCCCTGGGGTGCCCTGCAGAAAGCGGGGAATGAGGGACTGGGCGAGTTCCCTCCCCAGGGAGGGGAGGGTCCACGGGGTCCCCCCACCCGGTTCCCGGCCACAGTCCTCTCTCCACCTCCGCCTCACCCACCAGACCTGAGCCCTGGGACCCACAGATTTTGAGGGCTCAAGAAGACTCTGAGCTGCACCAACCCCACACCCCCAGTCTTAGGGCCTCTTTCCCAGGCATTTTTCAGCCCCATTTGTCACCTTATCTCCCTTGATGCCTGGCAAACCTTGGGGCCCTGGAATTCCGGGAGGCCCCTGCACCCCCTTGGGGCCCTGAGGAGAAAAGAAACCAGAGAAGTAAATCAAATGAGGTGCCCATATACCCTCCCCACCGCCCGTCTCAGCTGGCCGGCACTCACCTGTCGTCCTTGAGGGCCTGGCTGCCCCACTGGCCCCCTCTCGCCCTGGTCACCCTGAAATGGAAAGAGGTCACCCCCAGGCTGTCAGCAGGGGCAGCCTTCCCCAGCCTGGCCCCAGACCCTTCATGGTAAGGGTGCCCTCCATTCCTGCTGTCTCCAGCTGGGGTTCTTTTGCTCCACTTCACAGACCAGCAAACGGAGGCCCCACCTGGGGAGGCCTCTCACAGGCTGGACAGGACTGGGCAAGTGCTGGAGCCGGTGAGAGGACCCAGATCCCGGGTCTAGCAGAGCCGGATGCTGAGAGGGCCCCCAGGGAGGGACCACTGTGCCAGGCACTTACCTTCTGCCCCATGATGCCCTGGGGACCAATTTCTCCTCGAGGTCCTGGCTCTCCCTGGGGGATGGAGAAATTGGGGGTAAGCAGTAGGCCTGGAGGAACCCTCCCATCCACACCTGGCTAACCTCTCCACACCCTTGGGTCTCAGCTAATTCGCTTCAACAGGGAAGCCTTCCCTGATCCCCTATTACATGTTTTTGGGTCTCTGTACTTTTCCTTCATAGGATCCAACACAATTTTAGTTAGATGTGATTATTTCATGTCTGTCTCTTCCACTAAACTGTAAGCTCCATGTGAGTAAGGGACTGTGTCTATCTCAGTGTCTAACACAGTTGCAGGTATTTGGTGAATGTTTATGGAAGGAATAAATGAATCAATGAATCTGCCTGCTGGATTCTCAGCCCCTGTCAGCTTGGCCATCTTGTGAGGTCACACCCCAGGACAGAACCAGTCCCCACCCTCACCGCATCGTACGTGGGGAAACAGAGGCCTAGAAAGGAGAAAGAGCTTCCTTGGTTCAGTAGATCAGGGCAGAGCCCAGACTAACTCAGGGCACCCACCAGGTTAGGGCTCCACCCTACGGCCTCACCCTGGCCCTACACTGAGTGCAGGCCTGGGAGGACAAAAACAAAAACCCTGTGTCAGTGGAGGGGGCACTTACCTCCTTCCCGGGGGGACCAGAGAATCCAGGGAGGCCTTGCTGGCCCGGCTCACCCTGCAGGCAAACACAGTTCTCAGGCCAGTCTGGGTGGCCCAGTCAGGCCTTGCCTCAGGGAGGCCCAATGGATCCCAAACAGAGTCTGGAACCAAATGAGTTGGGGAGGGAGAGAGGGTGTTCTTGGCCAAGTCCTCTGAGATCCACTGATTTCCCTGTCTTTGTTTCTCCTCTGGGTTTAGAGCCATGCCATCTTGCCTCCACTGAGCCAGGCTGAGGGGATGTGTGGGTGGAGGGTGACAGGAGGGAAGTAGTTAGGCATAAGGGGCTCGTGTTCAGGCTGTCTCTGAGCCTTACAGTCTTTAAGCCATGCCCAGTCCCTGCCACCAGGCTCCCTGGCTCAGATACGGCCCATTCTGCCCAGTTGAGGTCACTTCACCTTGTCTCCAGGGCCTCCTTTTGTCCCAGGCTGGCCCGGCACACCCTGCAGAAAGAACCTGACATCAGTTTCCGTCTTGGCATTGGGGGAGCCCCCCACACTTGCTGCTTTGCGTCCCATTCCCGCTCTGGACTTCCCCCACCTCGTGGGAGCTGAACAGCAGAAGGCCCAGCCAGGGCATCATGAACTTGCCTGTACTTTCCACCCCAGCCCTGAGCCCTGGTGGGAGAGGAGTGGGGTACAAAAAATGGCCTGCATACCAGGGCCTGTGGTCCATGGGGAAAAGATGGGCATATGTATGTGCACACAGGCCCACGTGAGTGCATGCACAAACACAGGTCTGCACGTGTGCATAGAAGCAGATTTTAGCCCCTGAATAGCCCTGTCAGGAAGGGAGGGTGGGCTCCCATGGACTGAGCCCCAGAAGGTATGAGATGGAGATGGGCCTGAATGGTGAGGAGGCACACAGAGACCGGGGAAGGGCATTCCAAGCAGAGGGAACAGCAAAGGCCCAAGGCATGGAGGCAGAAAAGCCAAGGCATCGTTGAAAGGGAGAGGACAGAAAGGGTCAGTGGCTGATGAGGCAGGAGGAGTAGGGTGGGGTCAGAGTATGGTAGTCATTGCATGCTAAGATGAGTCATGAGGACAAGGCTTGCATTGGTCCTGTTCGTAACTGTTTCCTTGCCACTTAGTGTACCTTAGGCACTCAGTAACTACTTATTGAATGACTGGAATGAATGACTTTTTCCTGCAGGCAATAGGAAGCCAAGGAAGGTGCTTTAACAGGGAAATGGTCAGAGCCCACTTAGCCAGCCTGGAGGACTGGAGTGGCCAAAGAGCAGGCTAGAGCAAACAGTTAGGCCCATACCCGGCCACAGCCTGGGAGGTGGTGATGCAGCAAGAAGCCCAGATGTGTGGGTTTTGACCTCATCACCACTTACACCATCATGGGGAGGTGGGCAACAGTGTGCCTGGCCTCTCTGAGGAGAAGCAACTTGCCCACGGTGTGTCCCCTGTGGCTCCACCCAATACTCACTGCTAGGCCCTGGTGGCCTTGGTTTCCTGGCCGCCCCGCCTGTCCTGCAGTGCCCTGGGAGAGAGAGGGGACCAGAGGCACAAATTAGAGCTCAAGCCAGACAGTCCATGGCTTCCACCCGAGTGCAGGGAGAAAAACTGAGACCTGGAGGCAAGAAGGGATGTGTCCACGACACACCTGAAGATCCCAGTCTCCTAGCTTCCAAGATCACTGTGATGGGACTCAAAGCCTGAGCTGGGAGGGGCCCTGACCCTGCCCCAATTCCACAGATGTTCCCACTCCTACCTTTGTGCCAGGTATGCCTGGGGTCCCGTCCTTGCCGTCGATGCCTGGGGGGCCCTGCTCAGAAGGAATGTTCAAGGGAGACTCACCATGGGGAGATGCCTGGAGTCAGGCCACCCACCCTTTCCTCCTGTGACAGATGCGGTGTGCAGGTAGGGAGTGGTTCATCTCAGGAAGCCCCACCAGCCAATTGGGGGAGGGGAGCTGAAGTGGAAAGGGGATTGGGGGATGGACCGTGGTCCTTTCCTTGTGTGGATGCCACTGTCCCAGATTGCTTCAAGCTTCCCCTGACCTCTCCTACAGCATCATCCCTATTCACAGGTGAAGAAACTAAGGTGTGGAAAGGGAGGCATCTCCTGTAGTTACAGAACCAGCCTGTCTGCAGCAGAGTTCAGTCTAGAATCCCAGGCTCCTCTTCCTCTAGGGGTTTGGACAAATGGACTGCACCCTGGCCTCTGACCAGGTGGGCCTGGGCCTCTGGCACTTACGGTTGCTCCCTTAGGGCCTGTTATCCCCTGGGGTCCTGGAACACCTTGGCTGCCCTGCAAAGTAGACAGAGATCAGGTCACCTTCAGGACGTCTGGCCCCCACCTGGCTCTTCAGAGAGGGGAACAGCTGAGAACAGTGGCCTTTGGGTTGCAGAGTTCCTCTGGCGCAGGCCGCACTGTGCAGAGGCTGGAGGAGAGGGGCGTGGGAGTACCCTTTCTGCCTTGGAACCAGCGGGAGGGAGTAGAGATTGGCGCCAGGCAGTTGGGCTGGGCAGGAGCTGAGGGTGGGAGCAGGGGTGGGAGCCAGCATTCACTGAGACCCTGGCCACTGAGACCTAGCTCCACTTAGGGTAAGAAACCCAATAACCAAAGGCAAAGTGTGGACTGTTAGGAATTTTGATTTGAACATCAACTGCAAAAAGGCATTTTTCAGATAACCGAGAAAGATTGAACACAGACTGGTTATTAGAAGATATTAAGGAATAATTGTCTGTTTCGTTAGGTGTAACGATAATGTGATTATGTGATAAAAAGTCCTTATTTTTTTAGAGATACATACAGAAGTATTTAGGGGTGGACTGACAGGGTGTTAAGGATTTGCTTGAAAACATCAGAGCAAAGCAACAACAGAGTGAAGGAAGGAGGGGTAGACACAGATGAAGCGAGTAGAACAAAATGTGGGACCATGGGACCTGCGAGGCAGGTCTATGCAGATTTGTTGTCTCATTCTCTCTACTTTTCAGTATATTTAAAAAGTAAAAAACAAACAAAAAATAATAAAAATTGTTAACTGTACTTTCCGCTTAATTTTTGGTAAACTTCTCAAAAAAGAAAAGAAAAAAAATAAGTCTATTAATTAAAAAACAAAAACAAAGAGTTAAGAGAGCTGGGATCCGGACCAAATCCCATTAGCCCCATGGCTGATTTGCTGGAATTTCATTGTCTGGCCCCCGAGACCATGGGACTGGATCCCATGGCTTCTCCCAAAGTGTGAATTTAGGCTGACTGGGCTCTCGGCACAGATGGTCCTCTCCTGCAGCAGCCACGTGCACAGACACGTGCGTGTGCGCACACGCACACCAGCCTTGGGTGGAGCCGAGTCCAGCCCAGGACTCCCCAGGGACCCTGACAGGATAGGGGTGCCTGGGGACTCACCATGTCGCCCTTCTCCCCAGCTCGGCCTGGTGGCCCCCTCGGACCTTCCTCACCCTGGCAAGAAGGACAAACAGGAATCCAGGTCACATGGGCTCAGGGGAGCCGCTCCCACTTTGCAGCTGTAGGAGCTCCAGTCCTGTGGGGGGCAGACTTACCGGTGGCCCAGTGGCACCAATGGAGCCCACCATGCCTTTATATCCATGAGGACCCTGGAGAGAGGAAAGGGTTATGGGTCAATCCTGGCTGGACCCCAGAGGCCAGAGGGCTGGTCATGTCTGCTCTTGCAAGACACCTCCAAACTCACCATCTCTCCTTTGGGTCCTGCCATGCCTGGGTAGCCCCTGATGCCCTGGGGACCCTGTAAAGACAGAAAAATAACAGCAATGGCAATAGCAAGGCCCACTTCATGATACCTTTTCTGACCCCCACCCCCATCTTCACAATGCCCCTTTGAGGTAGGCAACATAGTACCTATCCATAGATGGGAAATTGAGGCTCAGAGATGGGGAGGAACTCGCCAAGGTCACTCAAAGGGACAGTGGCAGAGCCTGGAACTCAGCCGGGACTTCTGATGGGCAGCTTTGGTTCCTGTCCCCTAATTCCTGACCGGCAGCCTCAGCTTCCCTCTCCCCACCCAGAGACACTCCCAGCTGTACACAGGTGTCTCTTTTACAAGCTGGAGGCCTGTGCAGCGGAATGACTCCATTAAGGGCTCCAAGGACGAGGGAGCGGAGGGCCACAGAGGGGAGTGTTCCTTACCGGTGGTCCGGGGATGCCTTGCTCTCCAGAGGCACCCACATCTCCCTTGGGACCCTAAGGAGCAGGGATGAGCTATCAGACAGGCTGGCAGATGGAGAGACAAATACGCAGACAAGCAAAGATACTATCCCCCTTCCCCAGCAAAAGCAGACAGGAAGGACCCTTAGAAACCATACAGTCCCATGTTACAGATAGGGAAATTGAGGCTGAGCAAGGAGAAAGGGCCTGCCCAGAGACACGCTGAACTGGACACAGGCCTCTGCCTCCCAGCTCAAGGACCTGTTCCCCCAACCCACACGGGAAGGGGAAGGAAAGAAGGGGACAGGACCCAGTAGGACCCTCTCCACATATCCCCCATCCCATGTCCCTCTGCCCTCACACTCACCGGCTTCCCCTGGTGGCCAGGATCACCCAGGACCCCGCGTTTGCCCGGATGCCCCTGAACGGAAGGAGAGAGCTCGTCAGGAGGTCCCCTCTCGATCCCCTGCTCTACCTTCCCAAGACCCAGGCCAAGAGCTCTCACCTTCACTCCCTGCAGCCCTGGGGGGCCTTTCACACCCGCTGGACAGTTGGTTGGACACTGGAAAGAAAATCCCACAGGGCCCTGTGGTCACTGGCCTGTCCCAGGCTGGCTGGGCAGTGCATCCCCATCTTGCTAACTCCCGAGCCCTTTCCCATCTCACCTGGCTGAACCTCTCTGCTGCCCACTGACCCTGTCTCTACTCCCGCCCCTCCCCAGGTGACCCACCCCCTCCCTGCATCAGCCCCTCCCTGGACCCCTGCCTCTCACCAGGAAATCCGCACTGCCTTCCAGGCCCTGAATGGTTCCTGGGCGACCCTGGTGGAGATGTATAAGGATGGAGCCCAACCTTACCCTTCCCCACCCCACGCTTGCTCCTTCCGAGGAGCATGTCACCATGTGGGAGTTCTGAGGATACTTACAGGTTTCCCAGGGGGTCCTGGGAGCCCTGATGGTCCCTCTGGTCCAGGATCCCCCTGGAAGCAAGAGGGGCCCAAATTATACCCCTGTCTAACCTGCCCAGGTTACCCCTGCCCCCTCCTCCAGTTCCTGCTACTGTTCTGTCTACCCTGGCCTCCAGGTCACCCCCGAGATCCACCACTTTGGGGAGATCAAGGTCTGATCAGCAGAGGATGGTGCCAGCCTTGGCCTCCCTGAAACACCTACTGCAGGGTGGGCTCAGCAGGAGGGGTTTCTCCCCAAACCTAGAAGAGTTCCCTGTGGCCAGAAGCAGGCCCAGAAACTCCTGGGGAGACCACCCCAGCTTGCCAGCTTGGAGACAGAGGGTGGCTGGGGCTCACCTTGGGGCCTGGGATTCCAATCTCTCCAGGGAGGCCAACAGGTCCAGGTGGTCCCTGGGGAACAGAGATATTGATGACCAGGATGCCTCAGAGGGATCAGCCCACCCCAGGTGCAAAGGTAGCAACAGGCACCCAAAGCCCCATTCTTCACTTTTACTTTTTGACCAACCCCAGAGAAACTGACAGACTGGGGCTTTAAGGACAAGAGAATTCCAGACCCAGTGGGTAGGCTCGGAGTGGGCTGGCTCAGGGTCTCCAGTGAGTCTGCCCATTCCTGACACTAGCACAGCATGCTGGCCCTTCCCCAGGATGGCCATTCCCCTGGAAGCCCTTCTGTTGTCCCCTCCTTCTCTGGGAGTCTTGGGGACCCTGCCCCACCCCTGAGGACTTACAGGAGGTCCAGAGAAACCAGGGCCCTGGAACAGAAGGAAAGGAAATTGGGTTCATGGGTCCCTCCGCAGCTCCCTCTACCCACAAAGGATCCCTCGAAGCCCTCGTGGGTTGTACTCACCGGCAGACCAGGGGGACCTGGGAGCCCAGGCTGGCCCTGCAAGAGCAATGGGAGAGGCTCAGAAGCTGGGATCTCCCGGGTCCCTGCTCCTCTCTACTGCAGCTCCTACCAGAGTCTGGCCCTAGATTGTCTGTGCTGAGTCCCCAGCAGGCCACTTACCTTGACTCCAGGGGTCCCCATGGGGCCAGGCTCTCCCTTGGCTCCAGTTAAACCCTGGGGAAGAAAGAGAAGGTAAGATCAGTGAGAGGCAACCTGCTCTCTGACTGACCTGCTGGTAGAAGGCAATGTGCTTTGGGGCCGGCCCGGTGGCGCACTGGAGAGTGCGCCGTTGGGAGCGTGGCGGTGCTCCCGCCGAGGGTTTGGATCCCATGTGGTGACCGATTCCCGCTCACTGGCTGAGCGTGGCATGGGCGCAACACTGAGGGTTGCGATCCCGTTGCCGGTCCCCGGTACGGGAGCAACACCGAGGGCTGAGATCCCGTTACTGGCCAGTAAAAAAGACAAAAGGGGGAAAAAAAAAAAGAAGGCAATGTGTTTTGTAATGTCCAGGAGACTGTTACCATGGGGGTCCCTGGGAGCTCTGTGTTATCAGCTAAATGATGCTCCTGTCCTGAGTTGTGCCTGAGGTTTAGGGGGCTGAGGAGGTGAGGAAGGGAAGAGGGGAGGAAAGGACAGGGTACCCAAGGACAGCCCCACCCAGCATATTCAGTCTGATCCTTGGAGGCCAGAAATGTGACCTGACTGCTGCAGATGAGCAGGATGACCCTGCACCCCACAGAAAGCAGAGCCCCTCTCTAGACCCCAGCTGCCCATGATTCAATGCTACCAGGGTGGGTTTGAGGTTCCAGTGAGGCCACAAGTCATATGAAGGGTAGCAGGAGGGCTCACAGCTGGAGAGTCTCCATCCTGCTGCCCATCTCTGAACGGAAAGTCAGCAAAGATGCCAGAACCAGGTTCTGGAAGTCAACAGGCCTAACCTGCCCTACCCAACACTCAGCTACTCACGTCAATCCCAGGCTTCCCATCTGGCCCATCTGGTCCAGCTTTGCCAGGCTCTCCCTTGGGTCCCTTGAAAACAGAGGCAGAGCAAATATTAGCCTGAGAAGGGCAAGAAGTGGAAGGGTCAAAGGTCAAAGGGGAAAAAAGCACTCACCGGAGGGCCAGCTTTCCCAGGGGGCCCCTTGTCACCCTGCAAGATACAAATTGGTGAGAGAGCACACTATGGCACATGCTACCTCAAATGGGCACATGCAGGCCCTGGCTGGCCAGGCCCAAATGCTCCTCTTCTCACTCTCCTCTCTTCTGTCCTGGGTCCCCTCAGCTTTGCACTTTTTAGGAAAATAGCCTCATTTCTCTCAAACAAACAATCATAGGTGCATTGAGACCAACCTCAGCCAGGTGGAGGGGGTGATAGCAACATGCTCGTGGGTTTCAGACATGCTGATGTTGGTAAGGTGCCAGTTATGAGACCTGCAAATGGAGCTGTGGCTCCGAGTTACCTCGGAGCTAATGCCTCTTGGATTTGGGCAAGTGCAGGAAGAAGGTTGGAGCTTTTAGAAAAACATGAAGGGGGCGGGGGTGGGCGGCAGCTCTATTCTGAATTGTGGGTAAGAAAAACAAGAAGTTGCAACAGGGGCAAGGACCAAGGGGGACTATAGGGCGAGTGGATTCAAAATGTTCCCAAGGAAGGAAGGACCTTTTCGCTCAGTGACAAAGGACCCTTGGCGAAGTCAGATTCAACCCCAGAGGGGCCTCCAGGCATTTCAGAGCCTGCAACAGCCAGAGCCTGGCGGGGGCCCAGCGTCCTGTATTTGGGGGCGGGGGATCCAGGTTAAATAGAAGTCTGTGCAGACGGGTAAACATCGCGCTGACCCCCTGGGGGAGCCTCCGGAATGAGGTATTTAACCCTCACCAGGCTAGGGAGAGCAGGGAACAAGCCCAACTGATTCTAAATCGAGGAGAAAAAAGCAAAGGGAAGAGACAGGAGTCTGGCCCCGACTGGTCAGCGGTCTGGCCAAGGCTCCCAAGCTCCTCTGAAGGAGCGTCCAGACCTGCCAGGGGCAGAACGAGGGGTTAAGGCGTCTCCTATCCCAAAAGGAGGGGAAGGTAGGGGACGGGGATAAGGACTCGCTGTGAGCTGCGGCGGGCAGACGGAACAGCAGCTCCTTGTCGGCGGCGGCTATAACAGGATCTGCGTTTCAGGGCTGCTTTGAGGTTTTTGCTGAACAAACGGGCTCCTTGTGGTGCAGGCCGGCGCCGCCTACTGGCGACGGGGGGAACTACACCTCCGGACACCCCACCCCGCCCGCGGCCCGGCGCCCGCACAGTTTTCCTTTGTCCGCCGCCTCCCTCCCCCTCCCGTAGGTTAGAGACTCACGTCGATGCCGTCGGATCCAGGCACTCCAGGCGGCCCCGGGGGTCCTGGGGGGCCCGGCTCGCCCGGTGGACCTCTCTGAAAACACACACACACCGGTGCAGCCCTCAGACAGTGCAGGGAGCTGGGCGTCCCCGGGGGCTGCAGGCGGCACTGGAAGCGGGGTCCTAAGGCTGCACCGCCCCCGGGGAAAAGGAGCTCCACAGGGAGCCGCGAACTCCGGTTTATTGAGAACCTACTGTGTACCAGGTACTATGCACCACTGCATACATTATCTTACTGAATGCTTAGAACTGTGAGGCGGATGCTCTAAGGGCCCCAGTTTGCAGTTGAAGAAACAGGCTCAGAAAGGTTAAGGGTCCACTGTCACTGACAGCGAGCGGCGGAGCCAGGATTCAGCCCTAGATCTGCCCGACTCCTTCCTCTGTGGCCCCCGAGCGGTCGTGGCGGGGAACAGATGGAGATGCTGGCGGCTCAGATAAACCACAGACGGTACGCAAGATGGTACCTTTGGCCCTCAGTAAACGATAGCTCGTTTTAGTATTGTTAGACGAACAACAGGTATAGATGGCGAGTGGGTACCTCCTCCTCTCCTCTCGGTGCGGGTGAAACCCCATGGGAAAGTGGGGGAGGCGCAGAGAAAGGGGCCCGGGAGGGGACTCGGAGCACCCCTCCCCCGGCAACGCTTCTCTTTTCCTCCCTGGGTGGCTCTTTTTACGGGGTCAGCCTGGACCCAAGGAGGGGTCTTGCAAGGTGTCCACGCCCTGCCTGGGCCGGGGAGTGCCAGGCTGGCGCCCCGCGAGCGAGCCGCGACCCGCACCGGCACCAGACGGCGCCCGGGCCCTGCCCCTACCCGCGCGGGGT